TTATGCATAAACACCTCCAGTATTTTTATGAAAAGTTGCAATTATTTCCAAGGCTCAGTGAACTAGATTAAGTTTAGGTCACTGTTAGGACCACCAGCTGCAAAACAGAGACAGCTGAAAAATGACCTAGTGATTGTATGAACATCCCTCCATGTGTTTCTGATTTCTAAGCAGAACTTTTTAAAACCAAAGACTTTTCCAAAAATGCAAGGAATAAAGGTAACAGACTCCTTTTATCAGTTACTGTGTTACAAATGAGCAAAGGACATTTTAAAAATCATGCACAATGTTAAACAGGAATCAAACTATGGTTAACAAGTACAAATGGTGAGTGGAGTAACAGCACCTCTGTCGAACATATGTTCTCCTGAACTTTGCCATATATCATCAGTTATATCTTGAAACAAAGGCCAACCCACTGCAAGTGATTAACATTTCTTAGAATCCCTTCCTAAATTGGCATTGCTTCTTTATAACAATATCATCATCTGCTGGGAGCCATTCCTGTGTCCACAGGGACACTCGAGTCAGGGCTCTGGGTCTCACTGGCCTTATATGTGTTTTACTTCAGTCATCTGTTCCTTAGCTCATTCACAGCATCTGCTTGGCTCTTCGTGTTTATGGCTCAGCTTCGTATTTATCTGGTTTTTTTCTTGTGTTGTGCTTTTTTAAAAAGGCAAAGTTGACTTTTAAATTTTTTTCCTCTCTGTAGATGCTGAATTTATGCAATTAATTACAAGATTAAGTTATATTTTCCTTTTAAATTAATTGTTAGAAATACAATAATTTTTTTTTAGAAAATAGTTTAAAACACTAGATGCTAAATGCTTATATTTGTGGCTTTTCGTAGCTTGCAATAGTGTATACACAATTTGGCTTAGAGCTGGAAAGTTCATACTCTTGCAGCAGTATTGGAAAATGATTGCAAAGTCTTTTCAGGTTGTCGTTTTTTGGCTAAAATATAGCATGTGCTCCTTTCCTGCTTTTCAGGTAGGAAATGCCTATGTTTATTGCTTGTAATGATCAAGTTGGGAAACAAAGAATGAAAGTGATTCGTATTGTAAAAGTGGAATGTGAACTAAACTAAGAAAATGTGAACTGTAAACCATCTGTTTTCTATAAAGGAGTTTCTTTGCAAATCCACATAACTTATTATCAGAATACTGAAGTAGATGTCCCAAAAAGTAAGTCTTGTAAGTATGAAATGCCATCAAGAACAAGAAATGGGAAAAGGCTAAAGGAAGACATGTAGACAGTTGGATTAAACTATTATTATTTCTCTTTATTTTGACTTTGCCAATAACCTCTTGTGGCTGTGGCTTCACACAAGTTGCTGATGGAGATGCTGAGTTGCAAACCCGCTCAGGCTTTGTTTCTGTATTCACTGACTCTGCTGTAAACAAATTCATCAAGCTGTTTGATGCTTATTAGGTTTTGCTGTTACTGATGAAATAAACAGCATGTGTAGTTCTTAGTTTATGACTCTATTTTCTTTGTAAAAATGCCATATAATATCTTGAAAGTAAATACAAGAGCAACTATGAGGCAAGTATGTTTTGCTACCAAAATTTAGATGGTTGTGTAGTGGTATAAGTGGTTTGTACAGAGCTCCATGTTCGAGTGGCTGCTTTGAGTACCTGAATTGGTATGGATGTCTGTCTGCTACAGGACATTGCAATATGAGTATTGTAGGCATGCTGTTCCCAAATTTAACAAGCTAGAATATGCTTTGGCATAGAACCGTGGTTAAAAATAAGGTTACAATATAACTGTAGCAAGGCAACCAGCATTTACTAGTAGTGGGGAGCAATACCAGCATGTTGCCATAGTTCAGAGTAGTGAGAGCATAGAACTGGGTGTGGAATTAATAATGCAGGTTGCTGTAGGATATCCTGTCTCCAGCAATGACCCTAAGCAGATGTTTGGGGAAGACTGAGAATAGGACAAGCATGTGTGATCCTTGTCTCATTGTGTCTTCAAATATTCTTCCATTCTCCAGCTATTTTTTAGCTCAAGACTTTTGTACCTACTGTGCTTTGTCAGTGTAACAACCTAATTACTTGCCTAGTCTTTTGAAACCACATGTAAAATTGCTGATGCATCCACTATGTCCTCAGGCACATGATTTAACAGGCTGACTATTCATTGCTACAAAATTCTGTTGATGTCTCTTGTTTTCTATTTCTCTCTAGTTACTCACTATGTTTGAGTTTCCTTTTTACCACCCCTGGGCACTAAGCTGTGTTTTCATTGAACCACCTATTGCTACTGAACTATGTCCAAGTCTTGCTCCTCAGTGGTGGTGGTGAGGTTGTGCTTTGTTAGTTTTAATGTGAAACTAATATCATCTTTTCCTTAGATATCACTTTATATTTAACAGTGATGAGTTTAGTTGGCTGATTTAACGTCCTAAGGTCCTTTTGCAGTCGTTCTCCATTGGCACTTGGCGGTTGTCGTTGTCATCTCACTAGTCAGCCTGGTTTGTCTATCTCTTGCAAGTGTCTTACATTGAATACATTCCAGCATGGGCCCTTTGCAAAGCTCCCACCAGTGGGATCCCTCCATGGCAAGAACTGTTATTCTCATGCTGTTTCTTACATTTTGTTGGGTTTTGTTTGTGCTGTCACCTCTCAATCTGTGGCAGTTTCTTTTCCAGTAGGACTAGGATCTCCCTTTTCCACATGCTACACGATTCCCTCGTAGAACTCTGGGAAATTTGTAAAGCTAAACCATCATGACTTTTATAGATGCCATGCCCAGTCTTACCAGAGCAAATTGCATCCAGATAGGTATCCGTGAATTTTGTTCCTTATTGTAACTGCTCATTTCTGTAAGACTAACAAGTTCCCTGACCACCCTCAATTCTTTCTGGAAGAACAATGTCATATTTGCCACAGATGAGCTATGATAGTAGAAAGAAAAGTGAATTTTAATGGTTCTGTTTGTAACACAGTTTGTATGTTCCATCTGAATGAGCTGAGTGTAACAAGACAGCTCTAAAGTTGTCAATAATCATCAATTCGACTTAAACCTTGAGAAACATGTCACTACTTGCTGTAAAGTCAATATCTTTAACTCTACTTTAAAACTAAAGCTAAGCTTTGCTTCACAAATGCTTTCAAAAAGCAGAAATTTTGTTATGAAAGTTGCAATATTCATGCTTCATCTGGCTAGTGTTCTTTGTTTTTTAAAGCTGAGCAAACCTCTCCAAAAAGCCTTTATTAATTTAGTTTGCATTCTGTGCACCATTCACTTATACTTAAAATCTGAAATAGTGGAAAAGTTACGAAGGTTCCCTAAGGTTAATATGCTACATGTCTATGTTAGTAAAGGTATAAAGCCATGGATATATCTAAGTCTGTGTATATACTGTACATAGATTTTAATGAGTATTTAAATGGCATATTACATGCATATGTTCCTTGTTCATGAGCCAGAGGTACCTGAGGTTGATAAATGCTAAATAACCATTTTTAAAAAGAGAAAGATAAATTCAGCAGCACTGTAAACTTGTGGGATGGCCATAGAATATTTTGCCATGGATATTTTGCCTGTTCAGAATGCACATTAAAAAAAGAGGAAAAAGAGTAAATGGACTTTGAGTTAGTTATCTGAAGACTTAATTGTGGTAGAATAAATTTTGTACCCACAAGTTCTTACAGCCAGTTGTGCTTAAAGACATGTGTGTATATATTCTTAAAGGTTACATTTGTGGCCTTGTGATTAATCTCTTTCTATTAAAAAATGTGTCATTTAGTTTCTCATTTTCTTAATATTTCAGTTGTTGCATCAGAAAGAAAAGAAAAATATGAATATGGGCTTAAAAATAGCTGAAATCCTGAGAGGAAAAAATAAACCTGCCTTAACTTTTTAGAAATTCTAATAGAAATTTGCTTGCTTAATTTTATGGAGCCTTTAGTTTCCCTACGATGTAAAATTGGTAGTATGATGCATATATCTATTTCTTGCATTCATTTGTTTTTCCTGTTGAAAATGATGATCCTTCCTCACAGCTAACAAAGCTTTACCAGGGAAAAAGTTAGGAAAAAATAAAGAAGAAAAAAAAGCAGTAAAGTGTTATCTTACCCTGTAGTTATTTGGATCTGTTTCTAGGCATAAGACATAACAGAAAATTTGCATATCTCAAAGTTTTTATAATTCCTTCAGGTTCCTTAAAGCAATGTTTGCTCTACTTTGTAGCAGGCTATAGCTAATTGGCATTGGCTGTGCAGAGGGACAGACTAATTAACAGTTTAAAAACCTGCAATGCTGCTATGTGTTCCTATTCTACTTGATGAACAATTCTAAATAAAAAGATTACCTGACATTTTTATGTGTCTTCTAAAATATTCTTGGCTATAGCATAGGTAGAATGTTAGTGCCTTTCCCTGGATCTTAAGGGTGTGATGAAAGTTTGTTTACTGCCTTTGTTACTGATAAGCTGAAATCTTATGTGAAAGACTGATAGTTGAGGAACAGACTGCGAAGCAAGTGTTATCATACACCTTGTCAGGGCCCTGAAAACGTAATATGAGGAAGGTTTGAAACTCAAGTTTGGTTTTCTTGTCCAATTAGAAACTGGAAGAAGAAACTTCAATTTCTGGGAGATGTGGAGAAGCCTTGTGGAAGTATTTTTGTAACCTTACCCTGTTGTTCTGTTCTCTAGTTGTGTCTATTTGAGTATGACATTGATTTTTATTTTAGTCCTTTTGCAATTGGATCACTTTAGAACATAGAAACTTTTTCAGGTCAATTTTCTTCAGCTTAAGCTGCTCACCCAAGGTGAGCCCATCATCAGCCTCGGCTGCTGTCTGATGCTGAGGCGAATGCTCTTTGTTATGGTTTTTACTGTACCAGTAATGGGATTTTAGTATAGGTAAATGCCCTATCTCCACACATAATATCTTAAATATCCCAGAGTATCCAGTTGTTCTGCAATGAGTATGAATACCCCACAACTAAGGAAAAGTTTCCGTATCTGCTCATTAACAATGATTACTTCACTGAAAGTAAGGGTGAAAGTAGTTGTCTTCTGCTTCATCATCTTCTTCAGTTCCATGATCATGTGTTTCATGATTGTCTTCTGCTTCCTGGTATTCTTCTGGTGTTAAAAACCGCCGAAACACAGGTGATCTGAGCCGAGTGGCCTTGTTGACAGTAATGTTCTGTTCACCATAATAAATGGTTCGAATGAGAGGGAAGCAGAAAAATGCATATGAGCTCATAGGACTCGTCAGCTTATTTTGGTCCACCCGAATGTAGGTTAGCTGATTGATGTTCAGGGGATCAATAGTTGGACACATCAAAGTAACATTTATGTCTGTAAGAGAGGGAAAAATAATAATTAGAAACCAGAAAACATTTATATTGAAGATCTATTGCAAAAGCAAAACTTATGGTTTTGAAATTTGAAATAGTAGCTTCTGGTTTGAAATGTAAAATAAAAAATCTTGTTGAAGTGCACAGTAATAGAATCTTTCTCTGCACTTTCAATCAGTTTTGTAAGTGGTGTTTGCAAAGTGTAAGGTTGTGGGGTATAGGAAAAATTAAACGACTCTCACTACAATTTGTAATTGCTATTTTATGGGAATGAAATATTTTCAGAATTCCTTTTCTCTATGTTTTTATCAATTACCTAATCAGAAGCAATTTGCAAAAAGTTTTTGAAAAACCTTTTTTGAAAAACAGGTATTAATTTTTGCAAAGAATTGCAAATTAAGTGTAAGCTGCAAAAATTTAATCCTTTCTAGTTTCGCTGTTTTGGTCTCAACTGACCAAGGGTGTGTTTGCACTGCATCTGGAAGAAGATGGGCTGATATTCTCCCTGCACAGTGCATTTGCCTCTGAGCAGTGCAGTGTGTGTGAGCTCTGGGTGAGTGTGGCATTCGCTGATTAGTTCTGAACACTAATGGCTCCAGCTCAGCTCTCTGTGAAGAAGGACCCCAGAGTACCTCTTGAACATCATGCACATTTGGCTGAGCTGCATTCTATGCTTGGTTTATATCTCACATAAGAGAGAACCTGTTGTAAGGTCCTCAAAACCAAGGACACAACAAAAGAGATGTTTCTGATGGAGGCTGAAAGTTCTTAATTCTGAATGCTACGGAAAACGTGCCAAACTCGCCTCCGCCCATGGCCAGTGCCAAAACCCACTAATTAATTTGCTTTCAAAGAATTGCCACCATCAACATACTTTCAATATCATTGTTTTCAATGTACAAATGCTGCAAACTTCTTGGAATGTAGAATACTTGTTTCAATTTGTTGTGTCCAAGATTAAGTTCCAGAAGGTTGGGTAGATTAAAGGTGTTGCGTGGAATGTTCTGCAGGTTGTTGTGGGACATTCTTAGAGCAATGATTTTGGGAAGTCTGTTGAAATAGTTTTCTGGAATGTAAGAAATGGAGTTATTCTCAAGAGAGAGATGCATGAGTGATGATGGTAGATCAGGAGGCATAGTCTCTAATTTGTTGTTGCATAAGTTGAGCTGCACTAAATTTTTCATGTTCGCAAAGGGTTTTCCTTTGAGTGCTGAATCATCAAGTAAGTTATTGCAGAGGTCAAGCATTGTGATGTTGGGTAATCCTTCCAGTGCAGTTCCAGGTAGCTGGGAAATCTTATTGAAACCAAGGAGAAGTCTCTCCAGAGAGCTGGGCAGTGGGAACGGAAACTCTTCTAATTCATTATGTTGTAGATGAAGCTGCACTAAGTTTGAAAGTTTGGCAAATACACCATGGTCAATCCTGTGGAATTTTATTTTGTTGTAGCTGAGATTAATTTCCCTTACAAAGGTCACATTAGTGAATGGTCCTGCAGGCACTGCTTCAATGTCATTGTTTTGCAGGTAAAGTTGTTGGACATGACTAGGGATATTTGGTATTGTCTTGAGTTTCCGATGATCACAGTACATCGATAAGGGAAAAGCTGGTGGACAAAAGCATTCTCTGGCACACTCAACTGGAAAAGGAAAGCGAGGAGCTTCAGCTTGTGTGGCTGGATTAAAGTAATATGGCTGCTGATGATCTGGCTCCCCATCGTACTCATCCTCAAAGTCATAGTCTTCATACTGACAAAGGACTAAAGCAGCCCAGAGGAGGTGAAAGATTGATAGTTGGCTCAGAATCCCCATGTTAAATTTGTGCATTGTGTCCTGTTGATTAGAAGGAAAATTAACTTTTAGGTAGTTATAAATGACACAGGAGTTTAAGTGTTAAAAAGCAGCAATAGACAATGAAGTAAGCAGAACAGTGCTTTTTTTTTTTTGGCAATATTGTCAGTGACATTATTAGTGACATTATTTGATCTGTACCTTTCAAGAAAAAAGCATAACCAAATTTACTGTCCTTGGAATAAACAGAAGTTTTCATGTCTGACTTCAGACAAGGAACAGCTTTCTGCCTGTGCTGTGCTTGGTACTGAAGGATACCATAACAGTTGGGAGGATAAAAAGATACATCTGTGGTTCACAGTCAGTATCACACAAGTGTTTGGGGCTTCATAGAATTGTGGAATGATTTGGGTTGGAAAGTATTTTAAAAGATCATCTAGTTCCCACTCCTCTGCCACGGACAGGGACACCTTCCTCTAGCCCAGGTTGCTCAGAGCTCCATCCAGCCTGGTCTGGAACTCTTCCAGGGATGGAGCAGCCACAGCTTGGTGCTCAAGTGTTTCCACCTCCAACAGTAGATTATATCAACCTAGAGCTGGTCTGTGTGAGCCTTGAAAATCTTTAAGTGTGGAGTTCCAGCATCTCTTTAAATCACCCAGGTTAGTGTTGTGCTGCACTCCTCGGGAAGAAACTGCTTGTCTTACTAAGCATCCAAGCCATGGCTTGTGTCTATTGTTTTGGGGTTTTAAACAGTTATTTTTTTCAAATATGTATGTCCTCAACTAAGGTGAAGTAATCATAGGATTGTTTCTCTAAGGAGAACATCGAAAGAGATTATTTGGAAATTTGTATGTTATGTAGAACAGAAATTTCCCTGGTGTTGGTGATTGTATGTTCTGTGGTATTTTATGTTGCTTTTGTACTATTTTCCACAAAACATGGCTTAGTACTATGTGTCAATGATGATAAAAATGTAATTTTTCTATTCTTGTCATTGAGATAAATCTAACACAATTCAACCACTCTATACTGTACATCATGTAAAATATTCAATGAATAGTTTTCTTTAGAGTTTTCGTGTGCTTTTGTAATCATATGTTCTTTATAGATGTGAACAAATTCACCTTCAAAATACCTTTATGAGGTGAAATCCTGATGCTGTGGAAGACTAATAATTTTGCAGGTCAAATTTCTGATGCTCAAAGCCAGTCTAACACTTTAGAGCACTTTATGCAGTCAGAAGAACCCTTTTATTTGGCAGAATAAGAGTTGTGAATCATGTCTAGCTGTTCAACTTAAACAGCAGATGAGTCCAAATGTAACATTGCAGGTCAAAGAACATAAATCATGGAAATGTTTTAGAGACTTTTCTCAGGATAGTGCAAGAATCCTGAGGCAGAGGAAAGCAGATACTCTCAGGTTGGTTTTTTTTCACAATGACATCCGTGTTTCTTACTCAATGGACTCCATTTTCTTGATACTCTTAATATTAATTTGCTGAACACTATCAGTAACAAAGGAGATGAGATTTACTAATACTAATTTCCTAGGATTTCCAGTGATGATTGCCTAATGTATGAATTGAACAAGAGAGAACTCCAAGAAAAAGTAGTAACAAACTCTTGGAATTCAATGCATCCTTGTAATCTTCTTGTGTGACAGACACAGAGCCTGTGCCAATGGCTGGGTGGGATCATGTGTGATTGTCTAACTTGCCTTTCTAGCCTTGCATCCTTTGTTATTTGAATGTTCAAGCTTCAGAACTGCTGAAAATCTTCAAAGCGGGTTTGAGTGGAGTCAGTTGTTTGGAACCCCATTATAGGCAGGTCCCTAGCAGAGCCAGGGACTCTATGTCCCTGCAGCACTGTCAGATGTCTGAGCTAATCTAGGCAAACAGCAGAAACACTGCACAGAGACCAGCCTTGCACTGCAGGCTCTGCGTGAATGTACTGTGCTGACAGACTGTGCAAACACTTGCTGGGTCAAGAAGCAATAATGTGTTTCACGAGGAATTAACTGTGTTTCAGATTTCAGCAATGCATAATAGGAGAGTATCTTACTGTCGTATTTCTAACTTCTAGTCAGGCCTGTTGGTGTCTGCATATGTAAAATCTGTCTCTGACTCCTGTGACTGCATTCTGGTTTTGTGAACAGATCCTTCCAAAATCTGTCCCCCATACACATTTCGTGCGCTTGGTTACCTTTTGACTCCTGTTACCCCCTCTTCAGTTTCAGTCCAGAACTTGAGCTTCACCTTCTGGCTCTATTCTCTCAGCACTTCTATGAGGTGTCACAAAATTTCCAATTAGTATTTTTGGTTCTCAGTGCCACAGTTGTCCTCAGAAACCAGGAAGAACAACTTGACAAAATCCTGCTTGATTTGAGGAAAAAGCTTTCTCAGGGATTGATCCACTTGCTGTGTGGGTGATGTGAAGAGAGCTACTGTCATGTCAGATGGAATGAGAAATAATAGATACCAAAGTCTCCCACAGGTTTTATGAAGAGAAAGGAACTGGTATTTGGGGGAAACTGTTTATACCTTGCTGCAACTGAATCTGTTTTTGCTAGAGTAGTAACTGTTCTGCCAGGCTTGCAGGTCACATCTCAAATCACTGAGATGCTAACACTTCTTCACGAGGTATTTCTAAGAACTTAACTAGCTCTAAAATAACTGTGTCAGGTGAAACTTGATAACAGGAGATGCAAGTCAGATGTGCATAGTATGATAAACCACTTGCTTTCAAAGTCGAAAGAAAATCAAAAATCTTCAAAGCACAATTCTCAACCATCAGTAATCAGCTCAGAGCTGAGTAACTGTATTTGTAAGCTAAAAATTCTAAGACTCTTAACAAATAACACAGTCAGTTCATTTTATTCCTGCTTACCAAGAAAACTTACTCTTTGGATGTCTGTGAAGTTCAGCTTGTAGAGGACAGCAAGTTATTGTGCTGGTCATCTGAGACCATAGCCTAACACAGCTGGAGGAACTTAAGATCCATATAAGCCATATTTTGTGGTGAGGAGCCTTGTGGAAGGCAAAGAGAAATGACAATCTTGGCCCCTCTTCTGATTTGCCAGTAAAATGTAAAAAAAAGTCGTTTGTGCCACATCATCAGTTGCTGTAGATGCTGTGTCATGAGTCTGTGAAGCAATTTCTTTTTGTCTTAAAATCGCTTTGAAATAATTTGCAGGATTTTTTTGGTGTTACCACTTCCTATCAAAAAAAAAGGGAGGGTAAGGCTTCAAAATGATTACAGAGGTTATTAGTTCACAGTGTGGGCTCAGCTGCAGTGATTCAGCTCTGCAAGGGATTTGTCCTCTGAGGATGAAGTTAAGAAACAGTAAAAAAATTAACCTTATCAAAACTGAGGGGAAGCTTCTGCTATAGAAAAGATCTTATAAAGATCTTCCTTACTTTTTTCGCTCTACAATCTCTATGTCCTGTTTCCTTCCTGCAAAGGAGTTGTGCTATACAGTGCTGTCACTATGGTGGTGTTAAAGTTCAGGATTCACACTAAGTTTTCAACATCTTTTTTGATAAGTTGTGTAGAAAGAGCATAAATCTTCCTCTGAAAAGGGCAAGTATTACATGAGACGGAAACTATTTTACTGAAGAAACATATTTTTCCTAGCTTTTAAGAGGAATTAAATTAAAGGCACTCTAATCTGTCTTTGCTGCTATATGATGCTTAAATAACTGATATATGCAAAAAATGGAGAAAAAGGGCTCTTTTGGTGAAGTGGACTTCATACATACACTTGTGGATTAAGTATATGGTTTTCCAAAAGCATTTAGTTATGCTTTTGGCTTGGCAAAAGAGTTACATCATTTCAAAATCTATTCACAAGGAAGAATCTGGTTTTTTAATTCTTCTTAAAAAGTGCCTTAGAGGCATCAAGTCAAAACATAACACAGTCGCAAGTTTTACTTTTTTTTGGTTTTGAGCTTCATGAAGCTGACAATTTGCTCAACCTTTTCTCCTCTACCATTGAGGACAGGCACATGATTGAGAAGATAAATTATTCTAACATTTGATATATCAAGAACAGCACCAGAAGTCATGACCAAAATAATATTGTAGGAGTTGGAACTAAAATAAAGCAGTTGTGTTTAGTATTCCCTACATAAATACAAGGGAGATGTTGAAAGAGTAAACGTCAAACTCCATGATCCTTGTTTAACAGTATCATAAACAGTCGAATAGCTCATTGTACCACTAAACCCAAGTAATACTAAACAAAAATTAATTAATTTTTGAAATAAATAGAATACATTCATAATGAGAAATGGAAAACACAAGTTTGTTATGCCTGGTTAGTAAAACGTGTTTGGCTGCTGCAAAGTGCAGAGTTTTTTAAGCACAAGACTAAGAACATGTGGCAAATTTTTGGAAGCTTCATTCTACTAACAGTTCTAAACAAAACATGCACAAAAATTAAAGCTATTTTATCTAAAGATAAAAATAAGAGTTTTAATTCCATACCTGGTATTTTTCTATTGTTTTCTACTACTGGTTTTGTCCTGAGACTCTTAAGCTATTAGGAGACCTAAAGTCTCATGGTGCATTTAAAAATCCATGGTGGCAAGGCAGGAGAGTCTGTCCTTCTGAAAAACTAGTAGAGCTCTTGATTTAAAGCATAGTTAGGTGCAGAAGATGCAGCTCTAGCCATGGGATATATTAAGACTCAGTTCCACTTTTGTTGCATGGGCTGTCTTGGAGACAAACAAGTCTGTACTTTGCCATCTTGGTCAAGTTGTGTGGTTTGATCTTTGTTTTCATTTGAGGCGTGGTAGGAATTCCGTTACAAGGAGGGTAAAGAGAGGATTAAATTTAGCATCATTTGTGTAAGACTTTTTGTTTCAGAGGCTGTGAAAATTTATTACGTTTTCAATGTGTTTTGATTTTCAGTTTTAACACATTTCATAAAGACTTACTGTTGAATTTGTGATTTTTTTTCCTCATTTTATATATGCAGTTGTGATACAAGGTGGGATGTATGGCGAGCTGAAAGTCAGAGTC